AACCTTCTTAACAGTAATATTTATGTTTCTGCTGCTGAGCCAGAAGGACCTTTGAAATAAAAAAACTTAAATCCTAAATAAAAGTTTAGAGGGAGAGAAGAGTGGTGAACGTATTTCTTACTTTATCTGATGTATTAAATTTTATTTATTGTTTTTATCGTCCTGCGGGCTCTGAGAGAAAATTAATTTGAAGCTGAGTTTTTGATAAAAATCATTAGATTACTCTAAACGTCTGTAAACCTGCAAAATGAAGGAAAATCTGTGTCAATTACAGACATTCTGTTCATGTGAGCAGCTGTCAGCGCCTGTAATCCTCATAGGGGGGCTGTGGCGGAGTGGTTAGGGGAGTTGTCCTGGAACTGGAAGGTCGCTGGTTCAATTCCCCGTCCAGCTGTCTCAGTCATTGTGTCCTTGGGCAAGACACTTCACCCACCTTGCCTACTGATGGTGGTCAGAGGGTCYGGTGGTGCCGGTGCATGGCAGCCCCACCTCTGTCAGTGTGCCCCAGGGCAGCTGTGGCTACAGTGTAGTTTGCCATCATCAGTGTGTGAATGTGAGTGTGAATGGGTGAATGTCTGTTAGTGTAWAGHRCTTTGGGGTCCGGAGGGACTTGAAAAGCGCTCYATAAGTTCAGTACCATTTACCGTAACCAAGAGGCTGGGACCTGCACTGGATAGGATCCTCAGGAGAGAGCAGTGCGGCTTCAGAAGAGACAAAGGTTGTATAGACCACATCACAGTACTCAGGAACATCACTGAGCAGAGTGGTGAGTGGCAGAGACAACTGTACGTCATGTTCATTGACTATGAGAAAGCCTTCGACAGCTTGTACAAGGAGAGCCTTTGGAAGATCCTGAGAGCATACAGCGTGCCAAATAAGATCCTGGCCATCATAAAGCAGTTCTACATCAGGTTTACATGCTCAGTGGGAAGATATGACTTTGGTTTTTAGATGAGGTCTGGGGTGCATCAAAGCTGTGTCATGTCTGGACTTCTCTTTATAGTTGCCACAGACTGGATAATATCTGGAGCCACAAAAGATGCGAGAAAAGGTATTAGATGGACACCATTTACTCAGCTAGTAGAGCTAGACTACGCTGATGATATAACGCTTATTTCCCATACTGAGAGACATACACAGCAGAAGTCTGACAGGCTCGTAGAGCATGGTCAACGTATAGGCTTGATAGTAAACATCAAGAAGACCAAGCTGATGACAGTACGTGTGAGCAGAAACATGAGATTACAGAAAAACGGGGAGACAGTGGAAATATTAACATCCTTCCTGTATCTTGGGAGCATTGTGACTGTAGAGAGAGGTGTGGGAGAAGACATACAGAGCAGAAGACTCAGTAAGGCCAGGAGTCCTGCACAACTCACACCAGTGCGCAAATCCAAACAGTAGGCACTCCAAGGTCAAGATATACAGAACTTGTGTCCTGCCTGTGCCTTTATACAGTTCTGAATGCTGGAGGATGATGCAGAGAGATAAGGCTAAACTGTCGACCTTCTTCACCTGCCTGCTTAAAATCTGCAGGATCTCCTAGCCTGAGAAGTTCAGCTATCAGGACCTTCTGAAGATGACTGGACAGGAGGAGTTGTTGACAATCATCATGAGAAGAAGATGGTGATGGGTTGGTCATGTGCTGAGGAGGGAGCCCAACAACCTGGTGAGAACATAGCTGAGATGGACCCCAGAAGGAAAGTGGAAGTGGGGTAGGCCAAGGRCTACATGGCAGAGAACATTGGAGGCTGAGGCCATAGCCCATAACAACATCTGGGGGAACCTGGAGATGCTTGCCAGAGACAAACATGCTTGGTTTAATTTCATCGCCGCCCTATGCGCCAGCCCACAGGTGTTTAGGAATGAATGAGTCTCTGAATGCACACTRTTTTTTCCACATTAAGACTGGAATGAGGGGAAATAAGCTGTCCAAGTGGAACAGTTGCAGCGGGGCGCATCAGTGGTTCTTKGGGGAGATGGAACCTGATGTGTCTCACATCAATTTCTATTGAAGACATACAAGATTTGAATATATTTGGATTTATGATAACTGGATTTCTGCTGATCGGCAGAGGTGGATTTTTGGTCTATCAAAAAGTGAAAGTGACCCTAACAGCGGTCCGGGCTGTTGAGAAGCTGTTGTGCATTTTGGARGGTTTCTGCCRGGCTGGGAGCACACAGACTCRRYTGCTGGGRGAGATAARTCACAAACTGGATGTGATTCTGACAAGGATTGCAGCTCAGGAGCGAGCCTCGGCATGTAGGATCACATCTGGATGAAGTTCCAGATGGTGAGGGGAGGAGGACTCTGAATTCGGCTGATTGGAATTTTTTCGCCACTTTCAGAAATGCAGTAAGACACTAAAAGCAGCAGGAAATTCAAGGCTGCTTGGTCCCAAAACAAATGTGTTTATCTATTGACTCCCAGTGGCATGGCCTCGACTGCCATGCTTATCTAAACTCCACAAGGATGATATGTCAACAAGGGCTTGATTCCATCCCAMCCTCATCATTTGTATTGGACCTGGCCTGTGAAACCAAGGCCGAGAAGGAGGAAACTCTGAACTCTGGTGAACTGAGGCGGTGACATCATAGACTCTGGACTCTGGTGAGTTCTAGAGACGGGTTTTAGCATGGAGACCCACCCTCAATGTCACCGACTCCACTGAACCCTGYCCCATCTCGTGTTATCAACTTCTATCAACTTTTTCAGATACTTATTTATTTATCAGATTATCCGCAAATAATAATAATAAAAAAGATTTAACCTCAGCTTGGCCTCAGTTTAGTCTCAGAGCCAYACATGTCAACCCCTTCAGATGTTTACATGTATAATGAGCCTTGAAAATCAGTATTTTTAAAATTTGCATTAACCACACGTGGAGGGGAGGGAGTGTGGTGCAGGCGGACTGTCGGCTGCAGCAAAATAAGAAGGAAATGAGGACAAAAGAACTTATTTCTAGCAGCAGAGTTGGTTGGAAATGGATATCTGATGTTTTCTAAGGTCCTGCAGGCTCTGACATGTTAAATACATTTGAAGCTGAGTTTTTGAAAAAAATCCGTAAAACATGAAAAACTCTGATCTGAGATTGCTCTATAAGTCTAGATAATTTATAAACAGATTTAATGGCACAAAAAGTTTTTACTTTTGAAATTATTTCAGCATCTTACTGCGCATGCCTGATCAGGAAATCTGTGATCCACCTGATGGRTCTAGTAAACAAACCGTGAAGGTGCATTAATCCTAAACCATTTACAGCTGCTTGAATGAGCCTGTTTACGCATGGTTTGGTGTTAGAGCAACAGATTACAGCTGTTTACAAGTTGAAGGTTTGTTCAAGCTCAGCTTTCAGCTGAGTATCCTGGATTTATAAATCTGAGTTTTTGTGAAATTAGCTCCAGGATCAAAATTCACAAATGTTTGCTACAAAGATGAGTGTAGGCTTCTTCCTGCCATGGCTTGTTTACTCTGTCCAGGTGGAGAAAAGCACATCTAACAGAACAGTAGCATGCAGGCTAACAGGATATCTTGTGGGTCAGAAGATAAAAGTTTGGGAACCACTGCAACATACCATACCACGTTTGYACAATATAACCTAAAGTAACCTTTCAAACTACAAATGAGTTTTTTTCCAAAACAAGTAATATTGAGAATAAATACAGGCATGATCCAACTGTAATAATGAAACATGCATGTTTCTAAGACAAACTTATAAAACTCTTATGGAAGTGCGGTCTGTCACATTAGCTACGTTAGCTGGTGGAAGCCAGCTGTGCTAGTCGATCTCAGAACACATGGATCCTGATGTTGACCAATAGAAGAGAAGCTCACTGAAGCCCTCCTCCCATCCTCAGCCTCCTCTTTACATGTTGTCACACAGAGTGAGGGTGAAAGGTACAAGACAAAGTGAAAAAAAGAGATGTATTAATANTAGTATTTTATATAGTATTTTATATAGTATTTTATATAGTATTACACAGCTGATCCATGGGTTGAGGAGATATTTTGCTAACAGACTGATGATAAAGTTGGTTTGAAGACTCGGACCTTGTCCTCCTCAGACTCTCTGCTGGACCTCGGGGACCTGACCTACGGCGGACGCTTCACCTTCGAGCCGTCTGTCTCCTCTTGTGGAGGTTTGTGGGCGGAGCCTCTGCTCAGCCTGTTGTCTGGGTTTGTGGGTGTTGCAGCCCCGCCCTCTTCAGTGACATCATCAGTGAAGTCCAACTCCTCCGTCTTCTCTGAGACGTCCACATCCCCCCTCCCTCCTCCTGACGCCCCCCAGAGTCCGCAGCCCACCTACCCCCCCTCCTGTGGGGGCATGGCGCCCGTGTTGTCGGACCACCTGCAGCCAGATGGGGTTCAGAAACCTCTGCTCCCGCCGCTCACGCCGCTGCCCACCATCAAAGCCTTCTCCTCACAGTTCCAGCCTCACGGCGCCGCCCGCCCGAACAGGAAGTCCCCCGCACGCCGGCCATGCAAGACCCCGCCCCACGAGCGCCCGTACGCCTGCCCTGCCCACGGCTGCGACAGACGCTTCTCCCGCTCCGACGAGCTGACGCGTCACGTGCGCGTGCACACGGGCCAGAAGCCCTTCCTGTGTCAGATCTGCATGCGCAGCTTCAGCCGCAGCGACCACCTGACCACGCACATCCGCACGCACACCGGTGAGAAGCCCTTCGCCTGCGCCCAGTGTGACCACAGGTTCGCCCGCAGCGACGAGCGCAGACGCCACGCCAAGGTCCACCAGAGGCAGCAAGACCGCAGCTCCGCCCCTTCACCACGTAGGCCTGCCCCCTCTCCCCGCAGCTCCACCCTCAACACACAGCTCCACCCCCTCATCC